TTGTATAGACACAAACCGAATGGTCTTTTTGATTGTGTGGTAATAATAGACGTAACGGTTGTCTGCCGTGAATCCAGTGATGACACGTATGACGCCCTCCGAAGTCTGCGGCAAAAGCACGCGAACAGTGGTTCCGTACTTGAGGTCAATGAGTTCGAGACCCCCTCTGTTGGGCGCGAATAAGCCGTGTTTGCCGTCGGAGTCGATGCGTCCGTTCCAGCGCTTGATTGCGGTCATCACTCTCTGAGTTAAGACATCCATAACGTATGAATTGTCGCCACCAATGAGTCCGACGACCGACTCTTTTCCCCGATATCTTAAGGCAAACATTTCTGTGAATAGGATTTTGGATTCGTTTAGTTTTATTGAATGCATAAGAATTCCGTTCTCTAATCGATAGACTCCCAGCACTTCTTTGGATGTGCTGTCGATCATTGATATAACGATATATATGTTATCTTTCGTAATGACCACCGATTTGTTGCATCGATTTTTGGAATCAAATGAAATGCAGTACAAGTTATCACCGGTTGGAACCGCTTTGACAAACAGACACAATCTCTTGACATCGTTTTCCGTTGACATTTGTCTGACGAGTATTGCTTTGGAGTCGCCGTCGGCTAAAGTCAAGTCGAGGACATTGTTTTGCTGTTCTTTGAAAATTATGTTTAATTCATTCAAATCCCAGATTAAGAAGTAATTGCTTTCAATGCAAACAATATATTTGCCGTCATCTGTGATGAGAGCGTGGGTTACAATCGCTCCGATCTTAGAGTCGGATAGAGTGGTGAGCAGTTGTGCCCTTTCGAGAGACCAAATGCCCACCGAATTCCTGGTCACAGTTAGAGCCAAATGTTTTTCCGATGAAAAGCTTATGGAATCGATTGGAAGATCCATTTTGTCGATGGTATGGATGCGTTCGAAGAGATTCTTAATATTCCACACTTTGATTGTCTTATCGAAAGATGAGGAGATGATTGCGTCCAAATCGTCCACAATATAGGACTTAATCTGTATTATTCTGGAGAAGTGTGCGTCTAATGTCTTAAGCAGTTGTGCGCTCTGAACCGACCAAATGTAGAAACTTTTTCTCACGCCTGCAATCATATACTGATTTGTCTTTGAGAATACAATAGGATTTGAACACTTGAGCGGCTTTATTGAGATGTTGCGGACGGTGTGCGGCAGCGGTAAGTATACACTGTTGTCACTCAATGGCAACGAATCAATAGTCCAGATATAAAACCCTCTTAAATGAAAGGCTACTAAAAATTTATGTTTAAATACTTTGAGTGAAAGTAATTGATTCCCGGCCTCAATATGAGTGGTCGAGACGAGAGCGAAACCGCTGGTAAATAAGGAAGAAGAAGACACTATTATCTGAAACAAACTCTCCAGCGGCTGCTTATGATACCAAGCCGAACACAAGTTGCGATACCGCCGAAACTTAAGTTCGCTAAAAAATGTTTTATTTTTATAAATGGTTTGCAATAAAAATTGATTGTCATGTGTTTCACGAATTAAATGCATCTCAGAGTCACTAATGTATTCAATAACAACTAGTGATACAATGTTTTCCGTACTATTATTAGCATATTCTCTATCGTCTGAATAGTTGCGAATATTCTCTTCAATTGAAACACTGATTAGTTTACTATCAAATATAAGCCATTCATTACTAGTCCACACAATTACATGAATTTGATCCGAGGCTAACGACATCCCAATTATATTATTTTTGAATTTGCTTTGAGAAGAAGTAATGATTGTAATCTCTGTCGATATAATGTTTAATACAATTATTTCATTATAATTAGTATAAGTGATGACATGTTTGTCGTCTTTGGTAATAAGGATTGTGTGCATAATTCCTCTGATGAATGGATCGATGTCTAGCGAGACCTCACCGGTAGACAAGTCCCACATTATAAACCGGTTTGAAACTGATATCACGTATCGAGAATCGGAAGTGAGTGTGAAATCAAAANCAGACAAATGTCAACGGAAAACGATGTCAAGAGATTGTGTCTGTTTGTCAAAGCGGTTCCAACCGGTGATAACTTGTACTGCATTTCATTTGATTCCAAAAATCGATGCAACAAATCGGTGGTCATTACGAAAGATAACATATATATCGTTATATCAATGATCGACAGCACATCCAAAGAAGTGCTGGGAGTCTATCGATTAGAGAACGGAATTCTTATGCATTCAATAAAACTAAACGAATCCAAAATCCTATTCACAGAAATGTTTGCCTTAAGATATCGGGGAAAAGAGTCGGTCGTCGGACTCATTGGTGGCGACAATTCATACGTTATGGATGTCTTAACTCAGAGAGTGATGACCGCAATCAAGCGCTGGAACGGACGCATCGACTCCGACGGCAAACACGGCTTATTCGCGCCCAACAGAGGGGGTCTCGAACTCATTGACCTCAAGTACGGAACCACTGTTCGCGTGCTTTTGCCGCAGACTTCGGAGGGCGTCATACGTGTCATCACTGGATTCACGGCAGACAACCGTTACGTCTATTATTACCACACAATCAAAAAGACCATTCGGTTTGTGTCTATACAACGGCCACAAAACTCGTTGCACTCATTCATTGTCTCATTTGATGCCATGATTACAGACTAATCCGTTTAGAAGACGCCAAAGTCATCGCCAACTATAGACTCGGCGCCGACGCGACGGACATCCGGCCGTCGCCCGACTCAGAGTTCTTAGCGGTCGGCGGACTCGACGGCTCACTCGTCGTCCTAATCATAGCCGACGCTCGCACTCAGCGCTGTCTCAAACGTGTCCACCGATTGCCCTCACGAGTGGCCCAAACGCTTCCCAACGCTCGCCGACAGCCGTACAACACGTGGAGAAGTGTCGCCAAAATGGCCGTCATTTTGGCCAAACGCGAGGCCGACAGCGGTTCCCAATCAGACTCCAAGACCTGTGCATTGAGTTAACGCACGCATCGCTTCACATGTCGTGCCTATCATTGCATTGATTATACATTCAATTGTTTTGTAATTTTAATAAATGAGTCAATGTTTGCATAGATTTGGTGACCATTTAGTGGTCACGTGTTGTCGACACTAATAATCGTATGAATTAATGAATGCATTGCGAGTTGTGTTCACTCAAGTGTGCACTGATTCGAAGCGCGCGCCAAACGGTATGCCATGTATTGCGTAATCATTTGTTGTTTTGTTCGAATGTGTGCTAAAAAGGCTGCGAATGTGTTGTAAGTGTTGTGTTGTGTTGTGTTTGACTCAATCACTGTATGACTGAATGCCTTAACGTTTGGATTGACTCAACAATCAGTGTTTGTTGTGATTAATAGTTGCCATTCAATGACCGCTTCGTTGTGTCCGCGCGTGTAATGCAAAGCACTGTCACATCACTCAACACTTCCAACACTTCCAACACTGCAACACACGATGAAGACTAACACCACATCCCAAACACACTGCACGGTGTCGTCACTTGTGGCCTCTCTTCTCCTCATTGGTCTACACCTCACGTATATTATCACCAAATGTTGCGCTCATTTGCAAACAGGTATGTCTTCCGCTGTCAGCTCTAGGTGTGTACTTACTGTTAACAAAACACAGGCGTTTGTCGCTTAGTGTATTTGATATACTCTCTGCTAAGCTACCTAAGCAACGGTAGTCTCGAGAGCGGACAGTATGCTAAGTGAGGTGGTAGCCTTCACTTTAACCAACAGTACTGTCCAACGGATCCCACTCTCGCAGACCCGACACATGGAACTAATGATTGTCTGTTTGTTTTTCAGTTCAATTGGTATACCATTTATACAAAGAGTTTTAGTGGAAAATATCCAAAACGATAACTCGATTCAAATGCTATCCATATCTGGAAATACCGTTCACTTTCACTGTTCCTTCTTTGAGGACAAAGTATGTATTGAAGACATTAAATGCTGTTTTGTGTCATATGACTGTCCAACTGATGCATGTATTGTCCATTAGGTGCTAGAGTCGGGTGCGAACACCACTTTTGAAGTGGTATTTCTGGCCCGAACTGAAGGACGCGTTAATAATACACTTTATATTCACACTTCTTTGGGCTCTTTTCAATACCGAGTGACAGCTATTGGTGTCTCCAATCCATACCGATTGCGGCCATTCATCGGCGC